TAAATATTGGTTGGGGGGGGTCAGATGAGTGAGAGGGGGAGGAGGAAGCAGAAATTTAGGTAAAAAAAACCAATCACTTATAATTTTTGTATTGCAGTCACAGCAGGTAGGAAGCCACTGCTGAATAAGTGAGGTGAACAGAGGAGCTAAAATTCAGATCTAGAGCTCCCCAGAAGAGTTTGAAGTGGTACATTTATCCCTCTGCTCATGAGGACACTTCAGCTCAGCACGAAGAGCCAGGTTCCAGAGGCCATCCATCAGAAGGGTCACTTCTACCTGTCAGGGTGGTGACCAACACACCCCTGGGCACAGCCTGGTGAGTGCTGGGGGACAGGGACCATCCTCCAGAAAATGAAGAGCCCACACTGCTCCAGGATGGCTTGGCCAGCAGCACTGCAGCCAGTTCCTGTGCTCCAGTGGGAACAGGCTGAAGGCAAAGCTGCTCTCCCAAGGAATACCTGAAAATCCTGCTCTGTGTTTCCAAGCAGACCAGTAGGAAGGCTCCAACTGCAAATTAAACTTCAATTTGTAAAGAAACCAAGAATTAAATACGGGGCACAAAAGGAGAATATGCTAGATGACATTGCATATGAATGTCAGCTCTGTTCTAGGGTGTTTACAGGCAGGCTACAGCCTGCAATTTTAATTGGATCACAAAGTAGAAAATGAAAATGTTTCACTAACCAAGATGAATGGTATGACATTTGTCCTCCAGATTGGTGATGATTATTTGTGGAGATGAATAAACAGCAAAGTTAAGATGAAGTTTCAGTTTCCACAGGCAAGAAGGAAGCATAAATATAAAACTCTATCCCAATTTTCTAAATTGTTCCATAAATCACAAGTGGAAAGAATCCAAATGTGCAGACTTTAGGAAACATAAATGTTCCTGTTGACCACATTTTAACTTTCAGGATCTCCGCTGCACCAGGACTGAAATAGCTGCCAAGATGTTTTACAAAACCTTTACAACCAGCCAGCCCAAAGCCTGGCAAATTATTAGTAAACTTCCAGGAAGATTTCACAAAGACCTGAAAAGTTTCTTGTAGAAGAGAGAAAACAGAGGTGGATCTTGGTCTGGTGTAGAATGAGCAACTATGAAATACAGGTACCAGCAGAGCTTTGAAAAAAGAGTTTCTTAGAAGGAAGGATGATTTTGGACATGGTTCTGTCTTCTGGGGAGAGCTGCAAAGCTGTAGCTGTGCCCGTGGAGCTGGACCAGGAGGCAGCTCTTCACTGGGTGAGCCTCCAGCACCCAGCAGAAGCTCTCAGAAAAAAATCCTGACCCTTTTGGATATTGCTGCACTCTTCAGCCAGCAGAGAGGAAAATCTGCCTGCAGAGGGTAAATGGTGCCATTGCTGTGGATTCATTCTGGCTGTGGAGCAAGGATTGGATGTGTTTTATTCTCAGTGCTGCAGGGACAGAGACACCTGTGGCTCTGCAGGTACCTGTGCCACAGCAGCACCTGACAACTACTGAAACATGACTTTGTCCGTGGAGACATAGGGTCATGAGGACCTTGATGTGAAAAACGTTTTAATAAGGGGATTTAATGACTCATCAGCCATGGAATTAACTCCCTCTGTAGTCATCTGCCAGGGCATTCCTCATACAGCTATTGCAGACAATCACTGTCCCCTCTGTTCACTGCCATTAATTCTCTGTGGTTTGAATTTCAACTGATTTAAATGTTGCTTTAATGTCCCTCTCTAAGGTTTTCTTCTCACAGGTTAGTTAAAGCCCAAACAAAATGGTCTCCTAACCATGATCCATCAGCCTTACATGTGAACAAAGCTGGGACAGACTGGGGGTTCTCTGAGCTACCCCACTAATACAATTCCTAGTGAGTTTCTCTGCATCAGTCTGGTAGAAAATGGCAACAGTGTGAGAGTGACATGGAAAAAAGAAAAGATCTTTAACGTTTTCTCTTCTTTTTCAAGCAGTGATGTCTCTATCCAGAGGGGCTGGCAGTAGGCACCTGCTCATATGGTTGGAACAGCAACATAAACACCACATGTGAGAAAACCTATCTAAATACATCTAATTTTCATCTTAATGACTGCAGTGGTCTAGCAGGTGTTTTGGGCAATCAGAGAAAAATAAACCCCCAGAGCTACCTGTCAAAAAGACAAAGCCAGCCTGAACTCCTGGAGAACATGGGGAGTTTTACCTGAGTAAAATGTGAATAAGGGTTTAAACCAGAGAGGTAGGAAGCTGCTCCCAAAAGGAGGACACACAACATCTGGCACAATGTTGGGATGCTGCACCATCTCCATCTGTGGCCCAAATTCAGCAAAAAAACACCTTCAGTTTAGCTCACTCTGCAGAGGCTCTCGCTCAGCCCTGGGGTATACCTACTAAAAGTCATTGTCATATTTAATATTCATATTAAAGAATCAGGAGGATCCAAACTAGGCCTGAAAACCTGAAATACCCCAAATACATTTAAAACAACACCAATATAGGTGTCCTTATTTAAGTATCTGTCAAAAGCTGGCAGTGTTCTCAAAACATGAATCAGGACAGAGCTATTTTATTTCCAGTGGAAATGCCTGAACCCCATTTAATCCGTATCAGCTTCTGACCTGCCAGAACCCATATGGGATGAAGCACTGAGTGAATTATGGAACATCAGCAACTTCTACTGTGGCCTAATTATTGATCAAAGTAGAAGGTAAGCATTTGCAGGGTCCACACTTGAGTGAAATGTTTTTCCCACTCAGAAAAACAGCAAGTTCAGTGCAAGTTTTTCTTCAGTGCTGCTGCTATCTATATTACCCAACTGTGACCTGAAAGTGAAAACAGCTATAAACACGCATGAATCATCTTCTTATATGAATTTTATCCAAGTTCAGACAGGTAGCCTGGATTGTTAAGCTGGTTTTACCTTACTGTGCTGTGGTTAAAGCAGACTTGAGGTAAGGAAATGTACATGTGTCAGTTTTAAAGCTGGCATTGTTTCTCTAACACGTGAATAAAATTAAAACAAATCTCAGTCCCATAAAAAACTGGATTCTGCAAGCTGGGGAAGAAAACCACAAGCTGTTTATTCCTGCCATTAATGCTTTCAAAAGGCATTTCCCTGACATAAAACTCATTTTCACCCCTGTTTTGTTTTTGCAACGTGGCAGCAATAATGTTTAAGCCTGTTGGACACCACCTCATGAATCATGCTAAATATCAGCTTCATGGGGTGAGCATCCCTCTGCTGGCTGCAGCTAGGGCCCTGACACCCAGGAGGGAAGGAAACCCTTTAGCATCAGGTGAAAGATCACAACAGAACATTCTGGGTTGTCATTTTAAAAAGAACTTGCTTGGGTATTGGAGTCTGAGAGGATAAATCAATGGAGGTTTCAACTTCGGAAGCCAATTTGGAACAAAAAGCAATGCAGAAACACTGAGCTGTCCCAAGGGCCCCACAAAACCCATTTGCATCTTGTCTGTATGCTCCATGCAAGGGAGCCTAATTCCAGCACTTGCCAGCTATTAGCACGTGCTAATGAGACTCCTGCAATTGCCAGTCCAGGATGAGGACGGCAGGATTCCTCACAGAGCAGTGGGAGAGGGGTTCTGGCAATCAAGGAGCCATCCTGAAGAGGCGTTTCTCCTCTGGTACCACTAATTAAAGCCTCTTCCTTGGCTCTTTTTAAAAAGCCTCTTCTCAAACCCACCATTTGTGGCGGGTCCAAGCAGCCAGGCTGGAGGCAGGATGGGTTTTGGGGACAGCCACAGAAGGGTCACAGGTTTCCTGCATCTCCTTTCAGCTCAGTCCTTACCCAGACCAGGATCCCACTGATGCTCAGACACTGAACAGGGACCCAGAAAAGTTACCCACCATGACCACAATCAGCTAGATGTGTCTGTAAGTGAGACCTGTAGGAAATGGAAATTGGGAAGCACCAAGTGCAAAGGCATTAGGGTATGTACACCCACCAATGCATTAAATGATCTGTCACTGCAGTTAGGCTCAATCCCATTTGCAAGGCTGTCCTAGGAGAGACAGGAACACCTCTGTGCCCAGGAGGGACATAGTCTGATGCCCATTTGGCAGGTTTATCCTGGATCCTGCCTGGCAGTGAGGCTGGGAAGCCCTGAGCCACCAGTGTGACCTCTGTGCCACAGACTGTAAAGTGATTTCCTTACAGTCACACCCTCGCTGTGACTTCCTCCTCTGGTTCAAGGAGATTCATACCCCCCCTCACAGGAGGAGTGGGAAGATGCCCAAATCCTGTCCTGGACAGCACAGGGGAAATACCCAATCCTGCCCTGCACATAACAGGGAAAATACCCAAATCCTGTCCTGCACATAACAGGGAAATGCTCAAATCCTGTCCTGCACAGCACAGTCCATTTTGGGACAGCAATGCTGGCAGGCCCAGCTCCACACACAGCACAGGCTCATCTCACACAGCACACCCAGCACATAAACTTGGGCCTTGTTGGCATTTTGCCTGAAAAGAGCAAGCAGCATTCAGTTCAATCAGAAATAAAAGCAGAGCCCATTCTAACAAATGGGGAGATAACGAGCCCCGGTTCTCCTCTTGGACGCGACCACAGCTCCTCTTAGGACCGAGCAGAGCTGGGAGCGAACAGGAAAGGAAGAGGGCTCTTGGAGAACAGAAGAACCTGCTTTAAGGACATGACACAGACCTACAACAACAAGGAGAGAGAGAAGTAGAAAGAGACATACTGGAGAAGCTGACCATTGCGAAATGCTGACACCGGTCTCCTGTGAATTCGATCGGACACCTACCGGAAGAGAGAAAACCAGAAAGAGAGAAACAAGATAGCAAAATGACACCCAAACAGGCTGAACTGAGGCCCCTTCTGATCCCTTCCAGGGCTCCTATCTCCTGCTTTCAGCCTTCACCCTTACCTGCAGCCCTAAGCCCTACCCAAAGCTGACACCAAGAGCCGTCCCTGACTAGAGCACTCTACATCCACCGCTGTGCCCGGGAGGTTTTAAGTAGTGTGGTGCATTTTTTGTCTTCAAACATACTTTGCTTAGGATCTGGCATGTACAATCGCAAAGGCAGTTTCTCCAAACATCTCTGTCCGAAGAATCCATTTGGACATCTGGAGGGGAAAAGGGGAGAAATCACAGAACATGTCTGGTACAGTTCTTGAGGCTAAGGTCAGAAATAAAAAGTGCATTGCGATGAATGGAAAAAATAAAGGTTTTACATGTGTATTTACTCTTTGCTTTAACCAGGCACCTGCAACATCAACGTTCCAGCTCTGGTTTAGGTCTGGGTCTTCAAGCAGGCAGCCAAACCCCTCCTGCTCTGTCCTGCTCTGCCTGCCTCCTTCCTTCTCACCTGCTAGAAGCTGGCAGGAAGACTGAGATGGGCTGGATGCTACTTTCAGAGGCTGCGTGGAGCTGCTCTGTAGGCTGGCAAGAGGCACCAAAAGCAGTGAGCGGCTGCTCAGGCGACAGCGAGCATTGGGTGTGGAAAGCACCATCCATTATGAGCCCAGAAGTACCCACAGGGTGGTTAGAGAGAAAGCACGAGCAGAGTCTCTGTGTTAACAGAGAGGAAGGGACAGAGAAGAGAAGAAAGCTGAGCTGAAGAGGTCTCAGATGCTGTCCAAATGCAAGACTCTCTCAGGCTGTCCTGGCCTAGGTCACAGGATGGGCTGTGTCAGCTCATGGGCACCAGCTGCACATTCACGTGATGCTCGGGTGCCAGGGAAGGTGCCCTGCAGTCAAGGGCCACCTGGCATTGGCACCAGCCCATGAGTAGTTCCCCAGAGCACTCCCCAGATGGTTTGGGGAGCACAGGGACATGGGCAGGGGTGCAGCAGGAGCTGCAGGACCACCCAGGGTGAGCAGCACCTGCACACTCTGCTCTGCCACCCACTGCAGTAGCAGGTGAGCCTGGGAAGCGATGGGAGCCCAGCCTGGCTTGGTCAAACACTTGTCTCCCTCCCTCACTTCACATCTTTTCTTCTGGATACTCCTTGGATAGACCTGCACAGTATCCCTAGTTTTCTTGAAGCCCCAGCTCTCACCTCACTGTCCCACAACTCCCTACCTTCTCAACAGACCTCTCTTTCCTCTGAGCTTAAGAGGGCTTTCTTTTATAGCATTTTAACATCTGTTTCTTCAGCTTCTTGTGAGAGGAGCTGCAGTCTCTACACCTGGTACACGTCAGGCCTTCCTTGCTCTCAGATGCCACCCACAAGATCTCTCTGTCCCACAGTGCTCTGCAAGTGGAAGACAAGGAAGGGACTGAACGACACCTCAGTAAAACACTGATGAGTCAGAGGCCAAGTCTGATGTCAGTGGCTCAGCTCCTGGCCAGGCCACTGCAAAGGACAGCAAGAGGTTGGAGCAGCATCAGGTGTCTGCTCCCAGCCTGTGCATCTGGTGGGGTGGGGCAGGTCCAGGTCCAGGTCCAGGTCCAGGTCCAGGTCCAGGTCCAGGTCCAGGTCCAGATCCAGGTCCAGGTCCAGGCTCCATGCAGAAAACCTTGATTTTTGGTGGTTGTGCTTCATCATGGACATACACTGACCTGGCTTTGGCACTTGGTCTCTTGCTGGATTTCACTGCAGTTTGGGTAGGCCCGAGCTGAGCAAAAAAAACCTACTGCACCCTCAGTGCCCATGACCAGATGTTGGTCAGCATCTGGGTTTTTGGGACCTGTGCTCACACCTCTAAGTGGGAGTATGCTGGGCTATTTGTGCACCCCAAACTACTCATGGAGGACTTTAGGGCATGGCTCTGCATGAGGATGCACTGAGCCCTCCAGTCATACACTTCAGTTTCTCAGTATCCAAGTCACTGCTGAAACTGAAAATTGAACTCCCTGGTCAGGCAAATATCTTGGAAAAATTGGTGCTTTTTTTATCTCATTCTTGGACATTCATTGGACATGGGGTTCATCTTGGGGCACAGGGAAGGGAGATGGACCAGCCATACTGGGTCAGCTCCCAGGGAAAGCTCAGCCCAAGGGTGACCATCAGACATGGGGCCTGTTGACCTTCCCTGCCATGAAGCACAGGAAGCTGGTGCCGGGAAGGGAAGAAAACGCCCCATTGTCAATGAAAAAGCACAAACCTGAGGCGCTGGGTGGCACAGACTCACAAAGACAGCCCCAGGGAACCAGGACCAAAGGAACCCTTCAGAGATTGCACTGGGGTTTGAGAAAGGAATCCAAAAGAGAAGGTGTCTTCCCAATCCTCTTTGAAGTTTATTCATCACCTCTGGTAGAGTCGGGAACTTATTCAGAGTCTTCAAGGGAATCCAGTTTTGCTTGCAACTTGCTGGGATCTGAGATTTCCTGGATGTTGTGAGCACACAAAGGGCCTCAAGGGTGCTGCTGAATGAAGCAATCATCCTACCCAGCCCAAAAAGGGGTGTTTTGTCAGAATGGAGCTAAAACTATCTCAGGTGCACATCTGCAAGAGGTCAGCCAAGGCTGGAACTCCAGTGTGACTGGGGCTGCATTCCATTAAGACTAAAAACTATGGGAAAACTGGCGGAAGGAAATAAAAGCCCAGAGGAAGGAACCAGTAAGAAGTGAAAAAGCAAAACAAAAAGGTGTCAAAGAAGCTTTGATGCCATGACAGCTACCATATAGCCCATCTCCAGATCTCTGCAGTCAGCCAAGAGTGGGTGGGGACAGGAGCTCTCAAGACAGAAGGCAGTACACAAATGTCTTCTCTGTGTCTAGGACAGCTCAGGTTTCTCATCTTTTGTTACTCAGCGATTCAGCACTGGGAGAAGTGACAGAAAAAAAGCCCCCCTGAACAAGAGCAGCTTCTGTCACCTCTCAAGCTTGTGTACAAGCTGTCATGACACAATGTGCCACCCCTGCACACCTGGGTTCTGGCTCCTCAAAAGCAAGGCTGCAGGCAGAAGCAGTGACCAGAAGACCTTTGAGAGCATGCAGTGCTTTTGGTTCCTTTTTTTTTTCAATCTGTCTCTCTAACTTGTAGGCCACTGAAGATGATTTATTATTTATTGCTGTGGCCCCAGATGTGATTTCAAGAAAAGAAATTTCCAGCTTGCTTGGTACATGGGTCTCCCAGTCTGGACGGGAAGAGCAGTGGAGATCATCCCTTCTGTATTGAAATCTGCTGCCTGTGGTGAGGGCAGCTCTTCTGCAGTGAGGGATACACCTGAAAGTTAAGGCTCACTGAAGCTGAGAGCTGTGAGCTGGTCTTTAATCATGGCATCCTTCTTCCTGCACGCTTGACCAGAGCCAGAAGAGGTTCTGGCTGGCTGCCCTAGCAAAACCAAGTCCCTCCTTCTTTGCAAAACTCTTGCAGGGACTTCACAGATGGTGGACTTTCCTGCCAATATCACCTTTGGACTTTTTGGTGCACTCACAGAGGCAGACAATGGGTCTCTCCCCAAAGGCCGAGTGGACAAGGGTCCTGGGGAAGGACAAGGCTGCACCAAATTCTTGCAGACAGCACCCTGTCCCCTCTCTAGCCTGAGTGGAGACTCCCAAAACTCCCCTTGCTTAACAATCTCTCTGTGTCTAATTGCTACCTCTGAAAATTACTTGTAAATGCCATTGATAAAACTGGTCAGGGATTTTTCTGTCCAGATTCTGTTTTCTATTATTGCTGGAAAAAAATCCCATTCTTTTAGTTTTGACCTTAAGACCTTTTTTTTTTTTCTTTATAACCTCATTTTGAAAACATATGCAAAATTCTGCTCTTGGGTTCAGGATGAATTGCAGTGAGATATTTACAGGGTAACAAACATGCAGTAAGATGATCAGTCAAATAAAGCATCTCAAAAAGTACAAACCAAAATAGTTTGAATGATTCATTTCTATGATGTTTGCTGGTCACTTATTTCTGAAAACTGAGGAACTTTGACATTTTGCCCTATATCAGGGCGGGGCAATAATTATTGTTAATTATTATTTGTTACTTTAAATTCATTATCATCTTCTTCCTGCTGGAAGCAAAACTTTTTCTGTCCAGATATTGCTCTAAGTCTTGCAAGGGTAGGCACATTTCCTTTGCACCCCCAGATCTTAACTGAAAGATGCCAAATTCAGTAGCTCTCATAAATCAACTCATGCTACAGAAGAATGTGAATGAGCAGGTGCTTCAAAATAACACGATAAAGACAAGCTGTAGCAGATGGACACAATGCACTGAAGTAAGCTAATGGAAAAAAAAAATGTTTCAAGCAAGTTGCTTTTTTGTGGGAAGGGCTGAAAAAGAAGACAGTTCTGTCATTGTCCCCTGACCAGTCGCAGATGATCAGGCTCTGGAGAGCCGCAAAAGGCTGGACTCCACAAAATCACTGATGGGAAGAAGAGAAAACAACCAGAATAAACGCAAAGGCCTTCTCCAGAGCAGCTAATCAAGGCATGTTTGCTGCAGAGTGGAGTCCAAACCTCAGGGACATCCACTGCTGGGCTCAGTGACGACAGCGGCGCGGCTCCGGCCGCAGGATCTGCGTCGGTGCCTCCACTGAGCCTTTGCTGTTGCAGGATCAGCTTCCACACTCTGATGGGCCTCAAGGGTCTGATACAGCCACAGTGCATTGAGCAGGAGGCACAGACGGGCCACCTGAACCTGAAAAGGTACCTGATCTCATCACCCAAGATAAACAGCACGCAAAACCCAAGGAGCGAGTCCTGGCTGGTTCGGGGGATTTGGAACAGGATGTGGAGATTTTCACCCCTAGCTCTTCATTTCCAAGGACATTGCAACACCTCCCCACAGCACTGCTCGTACATCCGTGGCACAGTGACGTCCTTGTGGCTGTGCAATGAGCAGCTGGTGCTGACCAAATGCCGCTGGGAGGGATGGAACAGCTCCAGATGCCACAGGGCAGCTGTGCAAACAGTGCTGCCTGGAGGACCACGGCCATACAGGATCCCTGTGATATTCACACCTTTGGATGGTGCTCTGGGAAAGCACAGGGGAGCTGGCAGTGAGGCCAAACCTTCAGATTGATCTTTCTCTTTCCTGGAAAAATCTGCAGGAAACAATGCACTTGAGGGATGTGATTTTGAAAACTGGGGACTTGGATTCATTGATTAATTTTAAAACGATCTGATCTGTTCTTCTTTTGCTTTATTTTGTTTTTTATTCTCTCCTTGACTTCCACCTTTGCCTGATGTGCTCCAGGCCTCTGACCTCCCTCACTCACGTGAGGCAGAGCTGTCATCCCAGACCCAGAGAGTCTGGTCATCTGCCAGCATTTGCAAACCCTCCAGCCTGATTCTTGTGAGCACAGCTGGTCCAACATGATGTGGGGTGCTCGGTAATACTCTTTAAGTCTTCTGATCCCACATGAGATCCTGGCCCAGGGCAGATCACTTGGATTCCACTGACCACACAAAAGAGATGTGAAGAGCATTTTAGTGGGCAGAGGAGGCTCTGAGAGATGAGACATGACTTGCTTGTTTTGTTTTCCTGGGGAGACCCAAACTGCACTTAATGTGTGCCAAGACCTAACTGGGAAAAAGAGCATTTCTTCTCTTTGGATAGCACAACCCTGTGGGGCACCCAGCAGTGGAGCAGCCTCCAAGTGCTCTAAGTTGTGCCAAGGACTCACTGGGCTCCAGGATGGAGGCAGATCCAAGAGCAGAGGCTGCCAGTCACCCCAACACTCTGTTTGGACACAACAAACCAGGCACCTCTGTTGTGTGTCCCATTTGGGTGCTTGTGTGCATCCCCTCCGTGGCACCTCATTGTGCTCTACTCAAACTTGTCACTGCCCTGGAGTCCAGCTCCTAAGGCCTCTCTGAGCAAAATGATCTGGAGAACAGTCGAGAAATTCCTCCTGTGAAGAGCTTGGGGCTTTCTCATTTTCTACGGCAGTTGAGTTGGCTCTGTCTGTAGCTTTGTCATTTCCCAGGTTTCAGAATATTTGAGGCAGGTCCCACTTCTCCCATCTAACTTCCAGGCGTTCTGTTTGCAGAGTCAGGATAACAGCACAGACTGCTTTATGTTCAGGTTTCCTTTGACACCAGCATGCCTTGAATTTACTTAGAATTAAGGACAAAATTATGGAAGAACACAATCCAGAAAGACACAATTTCTGCAACAGATCCAAGTCCATTCTGGGCTCTTCCTCAGTGAAGAAAATGTTTTGTCCAAGGTCTATCTGAAGTGTATTAAAAACGGAGGGAGGAAGTGGGATTACAAGCAAATACTTTGTTCCTCAGGATTTAAAAAACTAGGAGGAACATGTTTCTGGGAAGCCTGTTATAAAATAATAATAAAAGGCCAGCTGCCAATTTAGACGATATTTGTTGCAAATCAAGCATGAACTGCATCAGGAGAAGAAATTGTTTGAGAACTCATCTGCTGGTTTTGGTCCAGCCTGCCAGGGGCAACATCTACAGGAAGGATTTCCTGTGCTTCTGGACAGCTGTGGGAATGGAACCCACTCCAGGAAGCTGATTGTGGGATGGTGAACAAGAACACCCTAAAATTCTGGTACCTGGATTCTGGAAAGGCTGGTAACATCACATGGGGGGGGACAGAATCCCCTGAGCACTCAGTGAGGGAGGGCTGCGAGCTGGCACAGGGGGCCAGGTGATCCCCCCAAGGCCCTGCTGACTCTGACTGGAAGTGTGACATGGAAGCAGCACATGGACACGTGTTGTTCCTGGCAGGAGCTGCTCACGTGGCTCTTGTTGATCTCCAAAGCATTTCAAGAGGTTGTGAGCAGAACCTACTGATCTCCTCCATGCTCCTGGCTCAGAGGCACCGTGAGGCTGGAGGGCCAAGGCTGCTGTTGCAGAGATCAGGAGTGAACTTCGAAGCCTTTATCTTCACCTCCTCTCCTTTCTCCTCCTCCTTTCACAAACCAGCAGCAGATCTCCTGTCTTGGTGCAACGAAGAAACCGTGGAGCATATCAGATCTTTGTTTGCAGGCAAAGGTGAAGTCTCTTTATTCATCAGCATCTTCCCCAAAAATCACCCTTGTCATTGGGAGAGCCATTTTATGGGAAACACTCTTCAGTTCAAATGCTTCTGCATTCCTCAATAACTATTATCCTCCAGAAACTCTAAAATCACACCACTTCAAAAGCCAGGTTTCCTTATCTTCAGTCTGAGGTTTAATGAAAATTAAATAAACCCAAGGAAAATGAACAACCAGAGATCTCTTCAAGCAGTAAGATCAGAAGTGACTGTGCCATGTGGAGGGTCCCCAGGTTTCCTCAAACATGGAGCCACCGTTTCTGGCAGATGAGCAGTGACAGTGCAGCCCTTCCCAGACCTCCTGGGTAACACTTCCCTGCCCTTCCACACATGCCTGCTCCGTTCCCGTCTGGTTTTCACAATTGGTACCTTGGAACTCATCAGAAAAGGATATAATTTTACCATCTGCAAAGAGAGGAATTCAGGCTTTCAAATGATATGAAATAATTAGGTCTGTTTGGTGTGGCACATAAAATCTTAATGGAATCCATCACTGAGCGTTCCCTCTGGTCATCAGCTGTCAGAGCAGCCTGGTTGGAGGGTAGGCTGTTTCTTCATGGGGCTGGAATCACTTTGGTTAAAACAATCAGTCTGCTGAAGACATTTGACAAGTACCACAATATCCTTCATTAGGAAAACGTGATTCTTAGGTGTGCTAGGAATTTAGGAAACTCTCATTGTAATAAGGAATTGATCCCATTTGAATCTTGATCTGGATTTAAGTTCTTCCCAAAAGAAATAGCCTTGAAATCTGCCATGGCCACATTGCTCACAGGTAGAGATGCTGATTCAGACACTCCTCCAGACTTCAAGGGTTCAGTCCTTCCCAAAACAGAAAGATTGGAATTTCTGGGGTTTCCTGGGCTACAGCTACCCCTGAATGGTGGATGTGACTTCACCCATCATATGGGGCTTCCCCCATGTTTCCTGTGGGGAACACTGACAAGATGAGCCCACGATGCCACCAGGAAGCCACTGGCAGTGACAACTGCACTGAAGCCCAGGGCTGTGGTGGATGAGGGCTGCTCCCACTCCACACACATGGGAAATGTGGGAGCCACAGCCTCTGGTTCCTGTCCTACCCAGCTCTTTCTATGTCTAAGGAGTAAGTCTGGGAGAACTGGGAATGCTCCTTCCACCACAGCTGACCCTGCACTAGAAAGCGGGAGCACAGGAGCTCCGCAGGATACGTGTCCACGTGGCCTTTTCTGCTGCTCCCTGCCAACACAAAGGAGTTCTGGGAGAAGGGAGGAGCTGTGCTCAGTGTGATCCAGCCCAGGGCTTTCCACGAGGGGTTAGGGCTGTGGTCAGGTGCATCCTCCCAGGCCTGAGGAGCTGAGGTGCCTGGTGAGCATCACATCCTGCCGTGCTGCTGGGATCCACAGATGTAAACACCTTTGGCTGTGTGTCTCCATTGAGACGTCTCTGGGTTCCAAAGGGACAAAATTGTCAGCTCTGGGCTTCTCCAAGTTGGGCAGTGTTGCCTGGGTCACCAGGTGAGCTCAGGAGAGGATTCCATTTGCTCAGTGAATGCATGCCCAGGGCACCACCTCACTGTGCAGGAGCCCAGGGGCAGGTTCAGGTGAGCTCTGGGTACCTGCATCTCCAGCAATCAGACTGCACAGCTTATCCACAGGCACTGGTAGGCTTGGGGGGTGAGGTGTGAGATGCTATTGGGCTTTCTGGCTCTGAACCAGGGGTGAAAATGTCTCACATCCCATTCCACATCCCTCAGGTTGTGCAGCCCCACTTCAAATTCTTCAAAGCTCATTTTAAGGATAACTTAGTACACGTCTCTGGTTTTTCTTGCAGGTTTGAAGGGGGAAACAAACATCCCACAGTGGCCACAAAGCTGCACAGAGAGGGGAACAGCTGGGGGTTAACCCTGGGCCCATGAGATACAGGAGAGGTTGGGGCAGGTCTCAGTGACCTCCAGTCAAGGGAGAGGGGAGGAGGCTCTGCCCTGACAAGGTCCCCCTGATAGAAGGACAGGACGTGTCAGCTCAGGGAGAGCAAGAGCGACCCAAATTTCCCTGAAGCTGCAGAAGAGAAAGGGGAGAAAGGGAAAAGAAACAGCCAGGACAAACATAATCTTAGAGGCAGAAAAGCCAGGAAAAGTGAACACTGACACGCACACAAAAAAGGAAAATACGAATCCTTGCCCCCACTCCCCCCACCCTGCCCCTCTAGTGCCCCTTTCTGAACCTGCACAGCTCAAACTGCATTTGCCAGGAGAATTTCAGAGCTCCCCCAACTCTGGCAGTTGCACAAAGGTCTCCTCTCCCTCAGCCAAGAAATTTCCATATTGACACAAGAACTCCACTCACTTACTTGCACGACAGCTGATTAATCCCCTCGATGTAGTAGCACACCCCTCCATTGACACAATAGGACTTGGCTGTTTCGTTGCATTTTCTGGCATGCCCGGACCAGGAGGAGAGAGTTGTGGTTACTGCAGGGGAACACAAAAACACACACAAAAAGGATATGTTGTTATTTCCTTTGTTGGGCAATTCTGCTTCCTCAGATGATTTTCTACGAGTTCATTTGCCAAAGTAAAAACCCCAGAGCTACAAACCTTAGCCTGTGCCTTCAGACCCACCTTCAGGTCCTGGGGCTGCAATCTGACCCTTCCTTTCTCAGCAAGAGGGGCCAAGTGAGTGAGGAGTTGAAGACTCATCTTCCTCTAAGCAGCCAGCATGTAGCACAAGATCATTTTTTTGGCAAGCTGTAGGGACGTGCCCCTTTCTCCTCCCTCATGCTGGGAATGCTGTGCCAGCAGGCCAGCGGGAGGTGAGGAAGAAGAGGAGCTGCAGAGTCACAGTCACAGTGATGTGCTGCTGAGACCCGAGTACAGACCCAGAGGGGCTGCAGGGGACTTTGCACGGCTCCACACCTCTGTCAGCTGAGTTTTCAGAGCCAGGAGCAGGTCTGGCATAAGCAAGAACAGCTTCATCTGTCCCTCCCCTTTCCTGAGCATTTCTCTCTCCTACCACAGCTGGGCTGCCCCAACAGACCCAGCAGAAGCCAGCCAGCCCCAGCTCGTGCTATGAGAGAAGCAGCATGACTCAAGTTTCCTGGGATACAGGTGATTTCCCAAACCTAAACTTCTTCCTAGAGAAAAGCTTTACACTCCTGTAAGCTACAAGAAAAGCTGAATGCAGTCTGCAGAATTTCACTGTAATTCCTGCCTCTGAGAGACTCTGCCAAGCTGACAGCCAAAAGCAGAGTCTCCAAAGGTAAAACAAAGGTGTCCAGGAAGGAAAAAACCAGTTGTTAGAGCACTGATACAGGTTACAGAAGGTGAGCAGCTCTGGGGAATGCAGACCCATCTTCACATAAGCCTAAGAAGTGCTGGGCACTAAAAAACATGGATTTTTTACAACTGAATGCTTAACCTCATAAAAAATAGTTCCCTTTCCTGGACTACCCACCTTGCTCAGACCCAATCACAATTACACCTGCAGCAATGTGGCTGCTGCCTGTGCAGCATCTTTTATGCTGTAGTCAAGGCTTCTGAGGAGATTTCCATCTTGTTTTCCAAAGCATGAACAAGCCTCGTGGAGAGGTTAGTGACACCGTCACTGAGACTGAACTCCTCACTGACACGAGATTTGAGGAAGAAATCTTGGACCAGAGCCAGGCAGGAGCCAGTCAGAGCCACAGGAGGAGCAGCAGGGCAAGCCATGGCCTGTCCTGGAGGGAGCCAGGGCTGCTCCCCATTCCTGGGGCAGCCCCAGCGCTCATCCCACCTGCCCCTGCCTGCAGCCCCCACGCCAGAGCCAAGGGCTGCATTCCCAGCTCCAGCTGGGAACATCTGGGTGCTCCCAGCACCTTGTGGAGCCTCTCACATGTGGCTGATGCAACCAAGGTGAGTTTGTTGTGTCTCTCACACTTTTGGGCCTCTCTGCCCACACGGGGCCCGTGCATCTCTGCAGGAGGAGATTCCCACCGGGCTGGAGCAGCCCATGCTGTCACCTGTGCACAGCTCAGGGCAGGGCCAAGCTCACTGCTCAGTCTGGTTGAAGCCATGTGCTGTCCCATCCATTGTCTTCCATTCCCAGAAGGAAGTGGATGTCTCCTGCTGACCGACAGGCCGGGGTTGTGCTCGGAGCCGAGCTATTTCCATCCTTTGCCTTGAATAACCATCGCCTCTGGCTCTGTCTTTTCACAGTTATCCAGGGCACAGCAAGTTGTCCCAAAGTGCTCTGCTAATGAGACATGGAAAACACTCCAGCAGAGACCCAAAATGCTCACAGCCCTGGGACAGCAGCTGCTCCCTGAGGGCACGTCCTGCCAGCCAGCTGGGAGCCAAATGTGGCCAGCAGTGTTGGAGCAGAGGATGGCTTGACCAAGCCTCCAGTGAAACTCTTTCAAAAATCTGAATCCTACACTTCTGCAGGAAATTCAGCACTCCCTCCCAGTTAAGATTAATGGTAACTAAAAGCCAAAGCCATTAAGAGTCTGTGTAATTTAGCTGGGGAATGCAGACTCATTATACAGACAAGACTTTATAATTTATACCTTTACAAGATAGTAGCACATTTCTACTCAGGAGAGGAGAGCTGTGGGTCTCTGATAAGGGTGGGTCTCTGCAAGTGTACCATGGGATCAGGGAGCACTGAAACTTCATCGGCCAAAGAGGTGGTGCAAATTGAAAGGGTGAAGAACAGGCTGTAGAGCCCTGCAGCCATCAAATACACCACTTGGTAGCAAGCAAAACAATCCATCTGGCAAAGTCTCACATCATAAACCCTACAGGGAAGGACTTTGGAGCAAGCCTTGCCACAGAAAGAGAGGGGCAGAGAGGGAGAACTGAAAACAGAGCCCGGGAACCTCCCCGTAAGAAACAGCCCAGATAAGATGACACCCAACCCACCAAGAAAAGTGGATGGGAAGATGCATTGCTGTGTGATGTGACACCTGGGAAGATCACAGCTCATCAGCCAGAGATTTCATGGCATCTTCATCCCATAGAAATAGTTTTGTCCCTTTTAAACAGGTAAAACAAGAGCCTGACATGATTGAGGCTTGGGCATGTTGGGCACTTCTGGGCAGAGCTGTCAGTAGAGCTGTGCCTGTCAGGAAAATGCATGGTTGGTCACCTCTACTAGAAGCATCTTGCTAATGTCATTATCCTTTAAACCTGCAAGTAGCTTGCCTTTTATCCCAAAGAAGCATAAATTGTTCTCAAACTGAATCATGGAATCATATTACTACAGTCCATTTGTCAGCACAGAGATGTGGCAAAGGCCACAGAGAGAAGCAGTTCCCTGTTGAGAAGAGAGCATCAGGAAATGAGGCCATTTTAGACTGTAAGACTGGTCAAGCCAAAGCCCTGCCTTGGCCCCAGCAGTGGCAAAGCTTAAAAAAGATCAGCACAAGCACACAGTGATAATCTTCCTTACCCAGGATGGGCAGCTCAGAGACAACCCAAGGCAGCCACAGTGCTCTCACATTTAGTCACATTTTGTGGCCACATTTAGTGGCCTTTGCTGGATTCTTCCACCAACATGTTTAGTTGCTGTGTGAACAAATCTATTATTGTAGCATCCACAATATTTGTGACTCCAGAGCTCCAGTGCTACACACGCAGTGTGTAAGGCCACAACTCCATTTAATTATTTTAACCTGCCCTTTCCTGGCTCTTGTATTAGAAAAAAACTAGTCTTTATCCCCACTTGTTTCCCCTGTGCTACCTGTGGCATTGCAGGCACAGCCAGCATCTCCTTCCCTAGCTGGGAAGCAATGATCTCTTTTTATTCTTTTTTGGGTCATCCCTTGTTCTGTTTTTCTCTTTGGAAATAGTGAAATGATACTGCACACATGTTATTTATGGGATATTTATTCCAGTCACAGGAATTCCTAATTTATATTTTTTTTTGAGGTTTGATGTGCTGAATACAGATCTTTCTCTCTTCTAACCCCGAAATCTCACTGCTGGGTGGTAACACAGTCTAGAGTCTTCCAAGGTGCCTGATCACCCTGGGATGTGCAGCTGGGGCTTCACATTCATGAGAGCAACTATTTAGGGAAAAAGGATGGAGAGACCTGCCAAGCTCTAGTGGGAGAACAAAGGGAAGCAAAATGCCTCACTTGGAAAACGTTCATTGTGCCTGGGCTGAAGGGTGGCCCAGATCACACACAAGCACCTCAAAGCATGATGCCAAGAGAGATTTCAGTGTATTTCCACCACACTAGGGGGATAATTCCCAGATCCACAAGTTACTTTGTGATTGGATCTATTCTCCATCAACCTGGGTCACTGGAAATACTTTAACAACTGTGTGCCTGGTCCAGAGCCATCTGGGATGTTGGATGCTGGTAAAGTGAACCTCACACACAGTTTATTTACAGCTGTGCAGGTACTTTCACCTCTGTGCCAAACACTGTGTCTGATTACACAGCTGTGCCTGGTGCTCCAGAAATTACTTCCCACAGCAATTTCACATGAACTGCCATACAACACCAGGCAGATTTTACCCCCCATTGGCTGGTGTGGCAGAATAAACCTTTCATTCAGCTCCCAACAGAGCTCCATCTATCCCAAATGTCTTGGAAAGTTGTAAAATTGCTGAGAGGAGTGGAGAACTGAATAAGCAAGGGAGCAGTTTTGGGTGATGGCAGGGTGGACGGGACTCAGGAAGGCAGTGGGATGTGATGAGGGGGTTGTAACACCAGTCATGTACCAAGAACCTCCCCAAATTTAAAGCAGAAAACCAGGAGTGTGCATGAAGCAAGCAGGTGGTGACGTTTCCTTTTGACCAGAGGGAACAGCTGAGGTGCCCTAAGACACACAGTGGCAAACTGGTCAGAAAGCCCCTGCAGGGTGAGAGAAGGGCTGGAACAGCTCACCCACCAGCAGGTCAGACCTGCAGCTGTCCCAGGACTGAGAACATAGCAGGAGGGAGGGAGGAGGTGAGGACAATGAAGAGAGGGGAATAAGGAGGTGAAGAGAAGAGGGGAGTAAGGAGGTGAGGACAGGGAAAAGAGGGCTGCCTCCTGATGATGTGTTGGTGAATGATCTGCAGCCACGTTTTATTGTTGCTGCCCCAGCCAGTGAGGACAGAGCAGCATAAACACGGGAGGTTCAGAGCACTGGAGTCATTCAGAGAGTCTATTTTCCACCACACGCCTCAGTTACTCTGGACTATCATCAATGACAGGGCAACAGAGAGGAGAGCCAGGGGCAGGAACTCTGCCAGGTGGACGTCCCTCCACAGAACCCATCTACGCAGAAAGGCCATTAATGATTGTGCAGGGATTCTTACACAATTCCTGCCATGCACGTCATTTACCCTTTGCAGGCAGCTCACCAGCCTGTTCTCAGAAGTCTGGTGAAATACTCCCCCTGCAAAGAGTTAATTAATGCAGCTTGGACTATAAATTATAGTTAATTTTTCACAAACTACAGCTACTGTCGAGGAGAGCGGGCAGACAGCGATGGTTTCGCCGCTCCTTTTCTTCCTTATAAATAACTTTGGCTGGTGGGTTCATAGAGTACAGACACTTTATTCTCTCAATATTTAGACATTCAGTTAGACAGATGAACTCAGCTGGTTGGGGAGTGTATACAGATTGCCTGCTCTGTATATGCCTCATGTACTTACTGATAAAACACAGAATGGCTGAGGTTGCTCTCAACAGAGTTCATCCAACTGCTTCTTAGAAGAACATGGATGAGAAGGTGTCTGGCCAAGATATTACTTGCTTGTAGTGCTGTAATCCTGGCATGAGCCACACTAAACCCATGATTTACACTGATTAATACATGGAGGGGCTGGTGATCCTCACCATTCCCTCTGTGGCAGATTTCTGTGTGCCTGATAAAACACCTCCTCTCACAATAAACCTGAGCAGAGTCTGGATGCTCCCTGCTATTATCTACATAAAATCAGAAGGGCCTGTGCACACTGGGACTTGCCTGACAGCAGACTGGGGACTCTGGAGCTCATAAAAATTCTCCTCCTGTGTGTTTATTCATTTGGAAATGACCAAATATTTACCCCCGCATTTTATTGAAATAGATCCTGCTGGAATCATGTTTCCAGTTCCTGAGGGGATCATTAGGATCAATAGCTGCAGACTAGGAGCTCATCCCAAGATACACATACCAGGCTGCAAGGCACTCATCTTGGAGCATCAGGTGCTGCTGATCAAAACAGCACAGGTTGCATTTCCCACCTCTCCCATCTGCACTGTTCAGGGGTTTCACTAAGAAACAAGTTTAAAGGTTTCTGAGCACTCAGGGGCTGCCTGTTTCCATGGGACAGGCAGTAATTGAAGGGGCAAAGTCCTGTGTTATTGTCAAGCTTCTAGCTGCTCCTCTGGAATGATCTCTGCAGCTTTATGAGGGAGCCCTTCCTATGCTCTTGTCTGCCACAGGGGTCTGAAAATGCACATGACAGCAGCGCAGCATTTCGTTTTCCCAAATCCCCATCATCAATTGTAATAGCAGCAACATGATACTTCAATGAGGGGATTTGTTCAGCAACCTAAAAATCCTTTCACAGAGCCAATGCCAGCGTGAAAGCTTTGCAGGCGGGGCAGCTGAAGCCCAAGAAGTAAAGCAACACGCCAGGGTCCCAGGATGGAGCCAGAAGAGCAGATCCCCTGGTCCAGAGCCCAGTTCTGAAGGCTGGGCTCAGCCTCAGTGCTGCCAGGGGACATCAGCTCCCACCCCACACTTCATCCTGCCCCTCTTTGCCTTTAGAGCCACTGCCTGCCTTTACACCACACCTCGAGTGGCAGCTGTGTGACTACTTGAAAAACACACAGTGCAAAATGAGCAAGGAGCAGGATCTGGCAGCTGCCAGGCACCACACAGCTCTCTGCAGACTGGCAGTGAGATCACCACATTCACCTCAAGGTTCCGTGCCTGCAGGTTCCGCTCAATTACAACCACACCTCCAGCAATGGGCTTTAAATTATCTGAGCAAAGACCACGCCAGGACTTATTTTTAGTCTAATATTGAAAGCTGCTCTGTTCACATGGCTGGACTTGTGTCTGCTCTGCCCATGCTCCAGGCTGGCTGGACACCCCTCTGCAGCACTGGTAGCTCCAGGAGAGCTGCGTGGCCTCAGGCTGGAGGGGCCAGGGACTGACCAGGGACACAGCCATGGCCACCCAGTAAAGGCCACGCCAGACTGGATTTGAGAGCAGGTTTGGGGGGGTTGGTTGAACCATAAGCACGTGGCACATGTTCCTGTGGGGTGTGTTACTCACAAACCACAGCACAGCCACTGCAATCGTGCAAATCCAGCAGGCTGGGCTCACCTGGCAGGGACAAAGTGAGGAGAACACTCCCAGCACCCAGCCACGCTAGGCATCAGGGAGGGATTAAACTGGAGAGGGATTGCCTCGATGAGTCTACACCAGTGAAGCTACAAACAGTCCAATGGCATCACCAGGATGACAGCTGTGAAATCTGTGGACCCAAACTGGTGTGTGGAGAGTTAGACTTAATTGGAGAACAAAGGACTGTTTCAGCTACCCTTCCCACAGGGGTCTCTAGAAGGACTCTAGGGAGGGCTTGTGATGCCCAGCAGATGAAATAAAGGCCCCAAAACTAAACCCAGAGAGCCCAGCTTTCATTCAGCTGCTTTATATTACCCTCCAATCCTCTTGCTCCCCTCAGCACTGCCTGTCCTGCTCTTTCTCCCTGTTTCACCTTCTGCTGTGACCCCGAGCCTCTCTCTGCTGCAGAGCAGCCTCAGCCAAGGGCACTGACAGCCCACAGAGGCTGATAAAGCTCTCAGGCACTCACCCAGCTACAGAGTGAGCAAAGAGCACGAGCAGAGTCCGGGTGAGCAGCTGCAATGATCCACATGTTGGTTTAGAGCACCTGCCCACCACTGGCACATCCTCCTGTATCCTGACAGTATCCAAACCACGCTTCCTCCTCCTGGCCTGTGCTCTCTCCTTACCCTCAGGTCTTCACCTGCTGGTTGAAGTCAAGGGAAGGAACTAGAGGAGAACTCAACAGCAGAAAACAAACACCAGGGATTACCTGACCTTCTCAGAGACTTCAAACATTATCTTACCTTTTTAAAATTAAACTTTGAGGGGGTTTTACTCTCTCTGTCCTGCATAAACCTTCCATCTCAGAATGCTCTCCAGATTTCTCTGACCCTTCTTCCATTTCTGCCTCCATCAGAATGCTCCTGAATGCCCACATTGGTTCCTGTTTACCCAACAGACTCCTGAACCTTGTTTAGCTGCCTCACTGCACCGTGCCAGGATCACGGTACCGCTCTGAGTTCTCTGGGTGTTGAAATGAGCATGAAGGACCTTCCTCTCTCCACCAGGGCTCACCATCAAGTTACCACATCCCTGCAAGTTCTTGCCTGTGAGCTGAGCCACTGTGACCACCCAACTGCACAACTTTAGCCCGTGGCAAGCACAAAGCAAAGTGTTTTATTTAACATGTTTTCACCATGAATGAGGCCACTGCTCCACGAATGAAGCCGAGTGGAACCTCATGCTATTCACATGCCAGGTACTGGCGCTATCAGTGTTTAAAATCCAGCAAGGATTCTAAAAATACAAGATTTTAGAGAAACAACCAGAGTAGGGACAACCTGCAGGTGACTCTGAGTACAGATATTGAAAAGAAATGCAAGACTTTTACAAGGATGAGATGCTTGTCTGCTCTCCAGATCTTCCCACCTCACAACATCTTCAGCACCTCCTCATATGCTGTACACACGTGCAATTCTGTGATACAACATCAATCACCACAAAAAATCAGAGAGGCTCTGGGTAATTCAGATAGCACTTGGGAGATACTGAAAAAAAGGAATGTGAAGGAAAAAGGGAGTTCCAACTTTAACTCTGGAGATTCTTTCCATCATGAAAAAAAAAACCAAAAAACCAGACAATGATGATGCACCCACAGAGGAAAGAAGTTTTCCAAAAGGGGAAATTCATGTGTTTTCTTTCTGAGATTTGGCTTTTAAGAAAATAGCATTTATCTAAAACGATGCAAATAAGTAGCATGGGTCTCTTCTGGTGAAAACAAAGGAAAAATCCTGGGGAAAGATGGTGTGGCCACGGCATTAATGATGCTGTATCTCAGCTTGGTGTCTCTAGAGCAGTGCAAGGCTAAGCACTACACAAGAGCACATTTTAAGTGCAGTTTTCTAATCAGAAAAGCTTTTAAAGAATACCTGGCCAGTGCCTGCTGTGGCTGCAATCAGATTTCTTTTAAAGTCATAAAAGACTGAGCTTTCAAAGGAGGAAACATCCCCATAAAATCTGCAGAGCGGAATTGCCAACAGTGAGGCACAGCCAGCTGTGCTCTCAGCTCTGGGCATCCCAGCACAGACCTCAAAATCCCTGCCTGGCCCTGCCTTCCCAGGGTTTTTGCCAGGATCCTGGTGGGCTCCCACTGGGGACAGACCCCCTGACACAGCCACAGCACCCTCCACCAGAAACTGCTGAGCCAACATCCAGGCACCGGGATTCTAATCAACACTTGTACCCCTTCCTTGATTTTTATTGCTCTGTGCCCATTTTCTACTGCTTTTGGGACAGCTGAGTAGGAGGGAATGCTAAAAAGCATTTCAGCCACATTAAATCAAATTAAGCATTTGGGGAAATCCGTTCTTGCTTTCTGGAGACTCAGAAAAAATGGGATGGCAGGGCATGGATGGATTTTCTGCAATGTTCTTATTTCCTATGCTTAGGAGACTCATGGCTTTTCTCTTGTACTTCCTACAGCCTGTTTTGGTTTGATCAACTATCCTCAAAAAAATCCCAAATCCAAACCCAAAAACAAAGCAATAAAAAAAGGCCCTGTTAAATCAAAGGCCATAACAAACACATCTTGCAAGTATCAATAACTCCATGTACTGAAAGAGCTCAGAATGCAAACTTCAGTTGCAATTTTAAGTAGCATGTTCTTCAAGCTGCCATTGCAATCGTTACCAAATTCTCTCTCCAAGATAGACACCAGCAATATAAATCAGATTTTTTTAAAGATCTAGGGAAAGAAAGATCAGTGGCTTTGGGAAAAATCAGACAGAAGGAGAGATTAAAGAAGATTCCAGGAGGCAATAAAGCATTTATGCAAAATGTCTCATAATAACAAACAAATTAGGGGGAAGCAGCTGTATGGGGGGAGTGGGGGAGAGGTACTTACACTCTTCTTCCATAACAACTATTTTAGTTTCTGAGGCTGGTAAGACTTGTGGTGTTTTCGTTGTTCCTGGGGAAATTAAGGTAAGAAAGTAGTGAACAAAATATCTCTTTTGAGCAGAGCAGGGCTACTGTGGGGAGGAGCAGAGGGGCAGGCGCTGCAGGGGGGCACAGGCTGGGGGCTGTCGAGGTTTAGGGCAGGGGATTGGGGTGACAGAGACAAGGAATGTCCCTGCAGGAGATGGCACAGGGCACAACGTCCCCTCGCTGTGAAGGGCCTCGTGTCACGACCAAGAGGCAGAAATGGCTCAGGGTTCACCTGGCAGGAGATGAGCCAAAATGTGGGAGGTTTCCTTAGCCCTGACGGCCACAAGAGCACAAAGATGGGATGGCAGGAGGTGATAGTGGGGAAAATGCAGAGTTTAAGGAAAGGGGATTTTCTGAAGAGCCTCCATCCCACAGGTATGTGAAGTCCTGCAGCACAAATTAACGCTCGTACAAGAGGTGGAGGAACATGAAACAGATGAGGGCCCAGGCAATAGTGGGACAAGCACAGGTAGTGATTTCCTCTTTTTTAACCAGGATACTGGGAACCCCAATGCCCACAGCTCTACTCAACCCCACTGGCAGCACCAGAACCTTTGGAGAAGTCCCTTACATCCTCTGGAAAGGAGAAAGCCCCAGGAGCCTGGGCTGGGGGTGCAGTCCCTGCTAGAGACAGGGGTGGGACCACCACAAAAAAGCTAGGAGCAGAAAGAATTTTTTGTACAACTTGATTTTTTTTTTCTGCAGTGCTTAATAGGGGGCAGGGCAGCTGAGGAGATGCCTAGAAATTTTCTGAGGAAAAAAAGAATCATGTGCCCTCATGGCCATGAGATATCAACATTAGACTATTCAATAATGAGAACTGGGAAATGGGACATTTTTCTAAGAAAGCATCCAATTTACTCCAAAGTCATAAAAATCTGCAATACAACCAAAGTACAGGATATTTTGACTAAGTCCAGAAGCATTTCCTCAGAAATTAACACCCTCACGAAATTTCTCAATGCAAAAGCATTTATTTCTGAGCTGGGAGTTTTGTAGAGGAGGGATGAGGTGAGGGTTTGGCTGATGGACATTTTCTAAGTGCCAAGGGGTCTCTGCTCTGCAGCCACTCTCTCTCTCCTTAAAGATGTGGTGCTTTTGGTGACTTGCAACAGATCTGTATGGCTGAAAAGCTGCTTTTCTGAAACTGAAAAGTGGTATTGGATTAGAGCAAAGAGCATTCTGCAATGGGATCCACAACTGGATCAGTGCTAAGGAGCCTGGGGAGGAAGAAACAGGGGACAACACATGTGTGGATTCAGATGCCCTGAGGGGTTTTCTACTGAAAACCACCACAGAAGAAGGGAGTTTGCAGAAGTGAGGAAAGCTGTCGAGACACCAAGAAGGCCCAGCAGCAAGGGGAGAGGAATACTCCAGGACAGCTCATGCCTGCATACTGGGGAAGGCTGCTTAACTCTGGGTAGCTCCAGGGAAAAGAGGAAAAAAGAGCTCAGAGGGGCGACAGGGCCACAAAAGCCTGCAGGGATTGTCATCAGCTTGGCTGCCCTTGCAGGGGGCTGCAGCTGGCCCTGCTGTCCTGGCAGGTGATCTGCAAACAGCAGCAAGGTGTGCCTGCAGCTGAGCAGCAAGCCAGGGGCAGAGTGGCAAGGCAGCTGAGAACATGGATTTGTACATGGGTTCATCCAGGCAGGGAATCCGCCGGATTCAGGGCGAGACCTTTGTGTGTCTTTGATGGTTTTTCAGGTCTTCACACATTTCTGGGCAGCTCAGGTGTGAGCCCATCCCTGCTGCGAGGGTCCTTGCCACACAGTGTGACCTCCTGTGGGGGCAGAGCCAGCCCCTGAGATCCTGCCTTCCCTGCCTGGAGGCTGCAGTGGCCAGATGTGCATTTACCTGGTGGGCAGGAGAGAGCTCAAGCACACTCCTCCTCCTGTGAGAGGGGTGCTGCTGGTGGGGAAGGGGCAGCAGAGGAGGCAGACAGGGCTCTGCTGGCTGCACACGGGGAAGGGAGGTTGCACATGCAGCTCCCATCAAACAGGAGCTGTTTATGTGGCGTGGGACAGCCAGAGCGTGAGCCAGGAAAAAGGGAAAAAGGAGAGCACTGCCTCTGTTCCTTACTCGGGACACCTTTCCTATCACAATCAGAAATAAACCCAGCAGAGCAGCAGGGCTGAGTTCACAGACTTGGAGGATGAAGGCAGGGAGGTGTGAGCATGGGTGGCCTTCCCCCAGACTCTGCCAGCACTGGGATTGACCAGGCAGGATAACTGAGGAGGAGGAGGCTGCGTGATGCTGCAGCTTCACGGAACAAAAGATTCAGGATGGCAAACACACTGAGGTTAAGAGAGAAAATGCTGCCAGAAAGCAGCAGGAGAAAGGGACCTTCCTCACACTGGGGTAAGGCTGGTGAGAGAAGCAAAAACTGGATCCCAGCAAAGGGCTGCAGAGCCCAATGCTCACAGCCCCAGTGCCCGTTGTGAATGGCAGGAGGAAGAGCTTAGGAAATACAGTCACCCCCTCCCCAGCTGTGCCCTCCCAGCTTCTGGCAGCCACTGCAGGGACTTTCTGAGCCGGAGGGTGCATCCAAACCATGGTGTTAAGCAATATAATTATTATGACCAAGATAATAATAAAACCACCTAACCTCAGACTCCATCCGCTGAGCTCTAAGAGATGGAGCACACATTCTAGGATGAAAACCAGAAGCAACTTCACTCATCACAAAGCTATGGTCTAATTACTTGTCTTCTGGTGAGTTTTGCTTCTCAGAAATTCTTTAAAAAATGAAAACATCAAGCCCACCAGCTTTCTTTCCTTCTTACCCCTTTTCAAAAAAATACATAGACTGTAAGTTTATTTAAAATGTAAATTAACCACATTGCCAGTGACAGATAACAAAGATAAACATTTATGCTAAGCTGCATTTTTCTTATCTCCCAAGATTGTTTTACTTGATATCCTGAAAGCATGAAACAAAATAAAAGACAGACCATGTGCAGAACCTTTCTGTGGAATGGCAGACAGCTCGAGACATTTGCTGGCTTCTTCACTTACCACTTTTCACATTCAGGCTGCCTTTTGCGGTGTCTTTCCCTAAAACGTTCTCCGCTTCGCAGCTGTACTCCCCAGCATCTTCAAGCTTCACCTTGTTGAACTGCAGTCTGGAAATCTTTCTGTTGAAAAGTACAGCAGACATTTCTTACTCAATTGCTGACCAACCTCATGAAGTGACAACCATTCCTGGCCCTGGGATGCTGCCTGGAGGGTCACCCCCGCTTAACAGGATGGGCTGAATAGGCTCTTGAGTCTGGATGGGGTTTGGATAAGTCCTTTCCCAGGATTTGCTAGGTGAACATCTCCCTCTGAGCCCACTGCTCTGAGTGTGTTGTGTGCTTTGGTCTGACACCTGCTCTCATTCACACACAAAGTCTCGTGAGGGGTTGAGGCCAAGAGTCCCAGCACCCCAGCACAATATTTCCACACTGGAAAAAAGCCACTTTACTGATGGACAGTGGGATCTGCCTGCCAGATGTGGAGAGGAGATGCCTGTTCTGCACCTTCCTCATCAGGGATGCTGAGCAGTCAGTGCTCCACCAGCTCAGCACAAACACCCACGGTGCCCAGGGGGACTTGCCCCTCTCCAGCCTGCACATTCAATCCCTGGGCTTTGCCCTGGACATATCAGTGGCCACTTCACTTGGACCTAGAAAAAGGGCAAGCACCTCGTGTCCCCCAAATACACGCTCCAATGGACTGCAGACATGTGGCTGAGCTGCACACACTCATCTCACCAGCCAGACATGCCTCGAAAGAGCAGGAGATGGTGGGTGTGACAACTGCCCATGCCACCTCCCAGCCTGTGCCACCTCCCATCCTGTGCCACCTCCCAGCCTGTGCCACCTCCCAGCCTGTGCCACCTCCTGTCCTGTGCCACCACCCAGCCTGTGCCACCTCCCAGCCTGTGCCACCTCCTGGCCTGTGCCACTTCCTGTCCTGTGCCACCTCCCATCCTGTGCCACCTCCCAGCCCATGTCACCTCCCAGCCTGTGCCACCTCTTAGCCACCCCTAGCCCGTGCTGCTCCTCCATGGGAGAGGGAGCAGCTCTGCGGCAGAGCTCTGCGGCGCTGCGGGAAGGAGCATCGCCTTTCCCACTGCCTATGAGTCATTCTCTGGGATGGCTCTGACTAACAGCAAAACCTTTTGTTGCCCAGTTTAACAGGGATCTACAGGAGCCTTCAACACACACTGAGTGCCATTCATGAGGCTGCAGTGGGACTCCCACATGAGACCCTCTGGTTTACTACATTTTCTTCCATTTTAGCCATCTTCTCAAAACCCACACTGTCTGCTCTTCTCATGAGCACATCTCCATCTGCTTTCTACCCCAAGCTTTTACCTCAGGTCTGTGTCACTTTATTTAGAGATTTGGAAGTGCTGCCAGCTTTAGAAAGAGGTCCCAGTGGCCGATGTTGCTGAAGGCAAATATAATTCCATTTATGTGGAAAATAATCATTAGCCTTGGACATGGTTGCAATGTTACACGTGTCATCCGAGAAGGACTTTTCTTAGGGCTGTGCGAATCATTGTCCATAGGAAGCCCTTCACAGAAGCATCTTTTTAACACCCTGACAAGCTGTTCTCCTGGGAGGCACGGCACAAGGACACAGCAGGAACATCTCACTAGTTATATTAGTAAATTAAAAGCACTTGGAGATGACTTGGTAGAGCTCCCAGGAAACAGGCGCTGCCCTGTTTTACAGGATGCGGTCAAGTGTTCAATTGCATGAGCTGGGGCCACATGTGGAGCAATTTTTAAATGAATGTTGACAGTATGCAAAGACCTCTTCAACCCCTCTAACTGTAGGTCTCCCCTGATCCATTTGTGCAGTGACTTGGGCCAGCACATTCCACCACGGGAGCCTAAACAAGAGGCCTGATTCTGCCATGACTCCTCCGAATGTTCTCAAGTCTCTCAGCACAGCCTGTGACAGCCCTGGCCATCGTGGTCCTCGCTGCTGTGCTGCCTCACACAGGAGTCAGGTAATGCACAAGAGAGAGGCATTCCAGGACATTTAAGGAAATTTAGGGTATCCAGTGCCCATTGCTGCCCTGTGGCTGTTGGTTCCTGCACCTTGCTGGGAGGGATGGGCTCTGCTGGGCTGCAGCACCTTGCTCAGGGCATGTTCCCCACTCCCTCCTAGAGGATGGTGTGGAAATGCTCATCAAAAGGGCGAGATGGCTCCAGAATGCAACTCCAAGACTGCTCACAGCACAGCTATTACTTTCTCCCAGCTGCCTCAACCCTCTCTGCCAGAATAGACCGTTTGTTTTACAAACCAGCTCTCGGACAGGCTGCATTGCAGGCAGCACACGCTGAAAGCAGCTTGGAAGAATGAGGTTCTAACTCAGGGTCCATAGAAAACACCACCCTGGCACATCAGCATGCTGGGGCTCTCTGCCAGGGCAGGGCTGAGAGCATCAATGGACACACAGCCTTCAGCTGCCAGAGCACAGATGTTCTAATGATAATTGGCTGAGTGACAATCTCAATCCACAGCACATTTCACCAGGTGGAGCAACTGGAAAAATCCACTGCTGCATTAGAATATCACCTAGGTATGTGATCTTCTACAGATTAGGGGGTGTAAGTCCCAAAGACATGAATTAGGGAGTTATTCCTGGCACAAAAGGGGCCACACTTGACAGGCTCAGCTCCAACAACGGGGTGAGAGACATTTGGTCTTTTACCTGGAACTGGAGAGGAATGTGAGCAGAACAAAGAATGATGTTGGCATTTGGAGCATAGGGGATTACTTTGTTTTAATGCACAAAACTTGTACTGTCAAAAGAGCTTATTTTTGTGATCACAATTTGTTGAAATTATCCTGGGCTGTAAGATCCCCTTGAAAAGTCAAGAGCTTTTACTTGCTTCTCATAGCCCAGGCCAATGGTGTGGCCCCTCTTGGTCTCCACACAGTGCTGTACAATGTCTGGTGACAGACTCAGATCACGGAGATACGGACCAGCTTTCATGTGGAGCAAAAATGCAAAGAGAATTTCCCTATTCCAAGAAGCACTGAAACAGCCAGAGAGATACCTTGCTTCACAGCATTAACCCTGGGCCTTTTAATTAACATGGATAATGCCTGTGCACTGGAAGGACTGAGCTGAAGGATGCCAAAGGGACGAGTGTGTGCCAAAGATGACCAGTCTGGTTTTGCTCTATTTTGCTATCTCCAAGTGCTCCTGAAATATCACAAAACTCCTTTGGAAATCCGCTTTTCAAAGTTGTCTTCCTCCCCCTGCTGTCCCCAAGGGCAGGTACTTTGTTCTCCTGAGGGCTGATTTTACAGACACACCAAAGAGTGGAACCCAAGGAGTTCCACTGGGCACAGGAGTTTGGGATGAAGGCTCCTGGGCAGTGTCTCCTGGGGACAGCAGGCCCTGGGAGAGCCCTACATGTGCATTCACAAGGGTGCCTGGCTGCCAGACGATGCCATTCTTCTGGAGGAAGGCGCTGCCCCGGGCTGTTTGCTCAGTGAAAGGGCCAGGGTCACTGACAGATCCCATCATTTCGCTGCAGTGCAACTCTGTTGACATCTCTTTACTCCGGGGTAAAATCTGCCTCATTGTCTTCCCTGACCCTCAGCACATATGACTTAGCCACGCACTAATTATCTCCTGTAGTGCCAGTGGAGGGATAAGCCACGGGGAATATGCTGTCTGCAGGCTCTGAGGGATAGGATTCACAAGGAGACCTTCAGCCTGGCCAAAAGAAGATCCCCCAAAATACCTTTCTGGCCAAGAGAAAAGAGTCCCCCAGAGGGCAGTTTGGAGGGATGAGTAAATCACCCTCTTCAGTGCCAATCTCCAGACTACAATGGGAAACAGGGAGATCAGCCCTTGGCCAGGACCTACACAAAGATCCTGGCAAATTCTGGCTGGGAAGGGTGTCCTCATCGGCTGTAATTTAGACATCTAAATGTGAGCTCAGGCCCTGAGGCCTCCAGTGCAGTGAGAGGAGAAGAAACAGGCCCTGCATCTGAGCCAAGAAGGAACTTCTCATGACAGCAGTCATGTTCCCACCAGCACTTTGGTCAAGCTTGAATCATTTTTCCCCTCTTACCTACTGCCAAGTGGAAATGGGGCCATCTTCCCAGGTCATCTCCTCACCGAGCCATTCATGTGGATGGGATCAGGAGAGGAGGTGCCATGAGCTGCCCCCGAGACACCTTCACTGAGGACTCCGTGTTCCCTGCATGAGTTCTGCCACTTCTGCATCGTTCTGGGCAAGAATAGCTCTAGGATTACTACTGTTGCAGTGTTTTATTAGTCTTCTAAAAATAGGGTAACGACCATGTAAGTAATGAAGAAGTCAAGGAATAAGCTGATGAAGAGAACTTGGAGACGACCCCGTACGCAGCCCCGAAATTGTCAATGAAGAGCTCTGCACATAGTAAACGCACCTGAAACCCTAGGCAAAGGAAATTCCCAAACATGACCCTTGCAAAGGACACACTGGATGCCCTGCTGTGGTCACCCATTAACTCCATTCCCCTCTGTTTGCACGGAGAGCCGGCGGCAGGAAGCGCGCTGGCATTGCCGAGAGCAGCAGTGCCAGCAATTGCTGTAACGTGCGCTGCTTGCATCCTGCCAGAGATTTAATTGGTGCCTACGTGCTGCCCTGGCACTCTCACCGAGCTGCATTTGCCCTGAAAGAGCAGGTTAATGATTGGCAAGATGATTCAGGACGCCCAGCTTACAAACCACAAGCGTTGTCCAGCAGCCACCAAACACTGGGCAGCCTCACTGGCTGGGGCAGCGGCTCTGGGGGGACACGTTCATCGTCCCCAGCACTCAGTGGGATAAATTCAGGCAGAGGGAATCACTGCAACGCAGGGGAAGGGTGGGGATGGCCATGGCAAAGCCCCTTCGGCAGGGTGGGAGCAGCCAGGAGAATCCTCTCCTTTGCACAGCCCCCCTGATCTCTTCCCTGCCTTCCAGCTGTGCTCAGCAGAGCACAGCAGAGCTGGGCAGGAAGGCTGTGCTCTCAGTGCTTGAGGAAAACAAGTGTCCTGTTCTGGCTGCTCTGTGCTCCAGAGCATCATCTGGCCAGCTCACTATCAGCTACAGAAAGAACAAATGGGAAAGGGGACAGAAATGCCCTCAAGC